TATATGAAATACCTCTTTTGATCCTGATATTCCAATCTCACTTTCATGTTCTAGCATTCTGTTACTTGGTGGGTCTTCTCCAATTAAAATAGCGTTCTACAATTTTAGATGCAAAACACACTGTCTGGAACGCACATTAGAAATCCATAGGAAACATCGCTTGATATGATAGAGACTTTATTCTTTGTTTTCAGATTAGGTACGCTAAAAGAATTTAATGCTGAAAATATTTTCACAATTTTGCCAAAGCAAAACTTGCAGTACTAGGCTTTGGTGTTCATACATTAACAGCACCAAAGTCCAGATGCCAAAGTCTTCTTGCTCTTAACAACCCTATTTTAGATAACTAAATTTAGAATGGAAAATTATCCTTAATATTTAAATTAACATATATTCTGCAGTAATCGGAAGCAGGAACAACTATTTGATCAAGTTGACACTTCAATTAATAGTCTCTTGCAGTCTGAGAAACACTCAGTGTTAGTTTTTTTATTCCTAATACTGCTACATAAATATCAACTGTCTTATTTAAAAGGTAGATGTTGAAATAATTTTTCTTTCAAAATCAATAGCATTACAATCTAAAATATTTAATTAGCTAAACCCCAAAACAATTCAAATCTCAGATGTTTGCATGAGAAAACAAATTTATTTATTTCAGAAGACAATACACAATTTTGTTTTGAAAAACACAAGAAAACTAGCCTGAGTTCACATCTGAAATATTCAGAAAAATCCTACTGTCTTTAGTATGTTCCAGTCCTTATTTTCAAACAACACACTAAAAGTTAATATAGGTTTTTATAATTATAAAAGTTTCCTAGATCACATACAGTACACAATACAAATTGCCCACCAACTATTATTTAGCTCCTTCTAATTTTGAGAGGACATAAGATACTAAAAGATTTAGCACTTCTCACAAAAAAAAACCCCAAAACAACCCCCCCACACACATCAGGAAATACATATTTACAAAATCAAATACAACATACAAAAAACCTATCAAATTACTCTGTAAAGATGTTTTACTTAAATAATTAAAAAGCGTTTTCAACTAATTTAAAACCTGTAAAACAGCATTGCATTTTCACATGTGCAGTCTACAAAAAGTTGCTTTCTTAATTTACATAATGTATGTAGTAAAGAGGAAAACAAAAGTTTAATTTCTCTTAGTATTATTACATTTCTTGCCTTTGGGACTGAGTAATGTAATCTGCCACTTACGAAGTGAAATTTAAAAGATGGCACTTGAAAGAAAATACAGTAGAAAATAAATGGAACCAAGTGAGTTTCCTAGAAGGTAAGAAAGCCCTGAGTGATGACAGAATTATTGATTGGCAAGCTTCAGAATTAACCTAATTACAGTTTACCACTTGAAGCAAAATTTCCCAAGTGTTTGAAAGGCACTCAAAGTTTATTCAATAGCCTCATTGGTTATTACTGTAAATTCAAATTTCCAGTTGAGAAACTTGCTTTGGTATATAAAATTATATTTTTCTGTCATTTTAAAATTACTTTATTGGGTTACTTTAATATATTTAATGTATTTAATTTTTAAATGCAAAGCAATCACTTCAACAATGTATTTAGGAACACTTTAGTATTCTTTGTGTCAAAAAAAACCCAAAACCAACCCCCAAAACCCCAACCCCACCCCCCCAAAAAAACCAAAACAACAAAAACAAACCAAAAAACCAACAAACAACAAGCCAAAAGAAAAAAAGGCCTCCTGTTGATATCAACGAGTCAAAAGATACTGGGTTTGGTTCCTAGTAAACACCAATCAAGGTGACATCGTCCATTTGTAGTCATAATACTTTTAAAATATTTATCATTTTAAAGTTCACCCAGTGCTGAACATTTTTGCAAGACGTTTGCACCACAATCAAGGAGGCACTCGAGGGGCATTTCCCTGATTTAACTGAGGGTCATTTTGATGCTCATAGTCTTGTTATGGACTTTCTTCTCTACAATGAATTTCAGCCTTTATGATCAATTTACAGCAACAATTCTTACCAAAAGTTTAATTACTCAGGGCTTCCAATCCCAACATTTTAATTGCTGGGTTTATTTGTTTATTAAAAAAAAAAAAAGAAGACTAAATCAGAATAAACCAAAAGAGCTTAAATGATCAAACAAAAGCCATATTTTCCTCAAACTAAAACTAGGCAGTCACTTTGTAAGTGGCTTTTATTATTTCTTAAGTGAAATGAGTATATTAAACTCAGTTCTGCTAGCATATAAAATCACTAGCAGCAATGTTCAAGGCATGCAAACTGGGAAGCATTTACAATAAATTATGGATAAAAGTGTTGTTAAATTTAAACCCTTTGAGTATTCCATTTTTATTATTCATGAACTTGCATTAACTGACTAAAAATCTTTACAACTTACTTGCAGTATACTACTGATGTAATTTCACTAACTAGCTAGGACGGTGACAGAAAAGTCCTCAGGTCGTAGGTTTTGTAAGAGTGTTCTTCTCTTAATTGGAAGACCTTACAAGGCTAGATGATCTCCATCTACTCCGGTTTGAAAATAGAAGTTTTCCTTCTCCTATGAGGAAGGCTTGTCTTCGCTAGCGAAGATTCAGGAAGGGCTTTACCCACATATTCTGAGCAATACTGTTATCTCCTGGGTCAGTCTCAAGCAACCAATGACATAACAGCACAACATTAAACGTCTAGGTGTTCAGTCATATGACCGCAGCAGTTAAACCTCAGGTGTAAAGGGTGGGGCCAGATCTGTGCAAGCTGGAAGGGCTTACTCTCACTTCTCCGTATGGACAGGCGAGGGTCGAAATGGCAGGTGACAAGGTGCATTGGAAGCTGCAGATCCAACCATGCATGCGGGCGGTCCAGGGCATGGGTTGCTTAAGATTGACCCAGGAGTTGACGGTCCTGGTCGGACACTTCCTGATTGACTAAGCATCCTTTTAACCTGATTTGCCTATCCCACATGCCCTTGGTCATTGTGCTTGTAGTAAGCGTGGGTAAAGCCCTTCCCAAATCTTCACTCGCAAAGCCAAGCCATCAATTTCACTAAACAGTGTAATGAGACTTTTTTTTTTCACTCAATTAGATTTGAATAACTACATCTGTACCTAGTATTGCTCATTGCTACTGCCAGGAACCAGTAGAAAAGCTCAGTATGGTGGTATTTATATCTATAATTTTCAACAACTTGCTTCTGAACTTGCTCCCTTGTTCTGGTAAGTGCTGCTTGTAAGAACAAAGGACTTCTTCAACACAGCAGAAGGCATGTGCAATTTCTAGGTGTTTGGGTTTTGCTTTTTTCTTTCTAAATTCTGATAATAAGAATCATCCAAAGTGCATCCTTGTAGAGGATGTACCTCTGCCTTTCCATTAGTTCATATAACAGTGACTGAATGTTAAAAGTAATATGAATACAGCAATGTCCTTTTTTTGTTGTTTATTTATCAGATAGACTGCAGAAAATTTGATTGCAAACATACCAAAGGTTTGGTAAAATTCATTCTCTTGTTAACTAAGCAATTTTGGCTTTATTTATTAAATTTTTCATTTACAGTATTAGAGTATTTTAATATTGACCTGAAGAGATATTCAAAATAGCACATTTTTTTCCTAAACCTCCATCTTGTAAAGGCATCTAAAGTAAACAGCTTATGTCTGTCAAATATTTGATTTCTCCAGATATTTATCAATTATGAAAACAAAATAGCAGAAGTAGTGTTTTGCACCAGACAGCATGTTGATGGCATTGAGTAACTTAGCCTAAATCTATTGAGCCTTCTGGAACAAAATATTTTTTCTAGTATGCAAGTATTTGACTTAGAAATTAAAAAAAAATAATAATCTACAAGACAATCAGTTATTTAAATGTAGAAAATATTTTCAGTGGTCTAAGTAAATTACCCAAGAAGTGTATCCTTACAATGATCAAAGGGTTGATGTAAGGCATTCCATTAATTTCCTAATGCTAAAACTAATAATTTTGTGTTTATGCTTCTACTCCTGGTTTGGCTTTTTTGTTTTTGTTTGTTTGTTTTTCTTTTTTGTCACCAAAGTAGCAAAGATACTAGAATAACATTAATTGACCTGTTTTTAAACCACAGACATGATAGTTTTCCAGTTCTACAGACAAGGATGCGATTTTCAGAAATTTATACTGATCTCTCAATTGAATTGTTTAAACTCTGATATCACTGTTACATGAAGTACCAAAAATACTTACATTATTAAAAAAGTTAAATTTTTACCAATTCTTTTTCATTACTATAAAAGGTAATTATTTTGCAAAACCACTCTATGAATTAAGTTAGATTGCAATGTAGCTGTAATATAAATGTTTTTCTAAGCAATGCTGATATAATTTGGTGAGAACCACAAATATTTCGGGTCAGGTCTTCCCTCATAGAAAATATTTCGAACAGAAGCAGTGTTTCAGACATTTAAAAATGTTTCAGTTTAAATTAAAATGTTTTACAGACCTATACATTCCTCAGTGACATTACACCAGCACATTTTTTTACACATTTGTGAAATAAAGACAGAAATGCTTTACATCATCATTTTGCAAGTAAACAATTTGAAGAATATTCTCCAAATATTTTAATGGAACATTTAAAAAAGGAGGTGCACAAAGCATGCTATAGTGCAATAATAAACCACAGAAATAGATAACTGAAAAGAGGTGGTTTGTTTGTTTTTTAACTGGCTTACAATGAGAAATATGAAAATGTACCAACAACTTTTCATAACTATAGAACTTGAGAAAATAGGGCCCTGTGTTTTGAAAAAGTAATTTAACAATACCTATTCTGCCACTAATATGGGAATTGTCTCTAAAATAATTCTTTTTAATTTCACATCAAGGTCATGTAAAATCCACACATCATATGAGCCCTTAGCTTATTATGTCTATCCAGTAGATGCTTACTACAGCTCTTTAGAGCTCTAAAACAGTTAAGCGAGCTTCAGAGTAGCAATTCAGCCACATACTACACACTACATAATTTAGACCGAGGTATCCATATTTTTGCTCTTAAATCATTAACAATAACTTACTGATAATATAAAAGGTGTGTAAATTGGTCTCATATGTGTATGTTTGATCAAAATTGCAGTAAATTTAAAAGCAAAGCACAAAAATCTCATACCTGTAAGTATACACATCAGCTTATAGCAACTTAAATCTTTCACATTTTTGCTAAAGTGGGGAAAATATTGCTTAAAAATGTGAGAGAATAATCAGTCGATAAGTATAGAAATACAAACTCCCATTATCTGAATCAGGGATAATTCCAATTTGTTTTGATAACTGCTATTAAAATACATGATATAGCTTCTATCTTTGTATGCACATATTTTGTTTTATTTTTGCACTACATGAACGGTGATCAACTATTCAAAATATCAATCAAAAGATATTCAGGTCCCACGTCTTCTTAGCAATCTAGATTTACATGTTACGACCATACTTTCCTCTTAGCAACAACAAATCCAACATTCTACCAAAAAATGGCAATGATAAGAAAGCATTTAATTTTTGTCATCACAAAATTTGAAACCAGGCAATACAGACCATCATTACATCATAGAACACCCTATGTTCAAAATGAAAAATGCTGAATATTTCATTTTAGTTTACTTGTTAAAATCTTATAATGCACAATAAAAGGTAGAAATATTTATCATAGGGATATTTTTAGGATTTTTGTGATGGATGCTGATTTCTAAGGGAAAAAAGCAAGATGCAGTGATATTTGTGAGAACAAAATCTATGAGGATTCATTGCACAGGTGACTTTAGAGATAAATGAGTATAAACTTCATTTGCAATATTTGCCAAGACAAACAACAACTGCTGACATCAGTAGTAATGTTGCCTACATAGAATGGAGCAGGATGGGTTGGCCTCCAAATTTTGCTAAGCAATTTACAAATAATTTTGTACCTCAAAAAATGTTAGGATGTCTTAGTTGATCTGTAACCATTCCTGGAGCATCTGAAAGATGTAGCAACAAATTTCTTTGCTAAAAATGCACCTTTTCATTTCACATGGTGTTCACCCATTTGGTATATATGACTTAAAAAAAAAAATATCAGTCCACAGTTGCACTACATAAAAAAAAGAAACTTCCTAAATTTCTTTAAACAGTGCTTTCTATAAAATAGATTTTTATTTTATTCTCTCCTTCACTTTTTTGCTTTTAATTATTTATTTTCACTATTTTAGCTTAGCAAATCCATTCATCTTTTTTAAAAATAATGAAAATGCTTGAAAAAATCAGAGATGTTTAATGTCAATTAATATGGACTGTATGAACTACCACTATAAGATGCAATCATTAAAACATAGCATAAGGCTGACACTCTACCACATACAGAAATTGAAAATATATGCTGCATTATGTACCTGCTAGCTTACCGAGACTTCTTAAAATTAAAAGCTGACAAGGGTTTAAAAATACATAGCCATGCTTATGACTAGGGTCCATTTACTTTGTTAACAACATTTGAAGTTGGTATTAAAGCTAGTTTTGCTTTTCAAGTTCCCAAGCAAATTTTATTTGTAATAAAGTGAAATTCAGCTAGAAACAAACAAAACAATAATTTTATTATTAATTTTAAGAGGGATATTAAAATCACTTAATAATAAACCCCCTTTTATTTCTTTGAAGACTATGTAACCTGCCCTTAATACTTAGGAAATTTGAAAGTGACAGGCACACCTTGTTGAATAAATTTCAAGAGTTATTAAGAATAACAAAAAATACTAAATCTTAGCTTCAGTTCTATTTAAGGCACCATGTAATAGCCGAGGTACAATGATCCCTGATGTACATTCTTAAATGGCAATGGTCCATCTAGCCACCTATTCAAATTCAATGCAATTGGGAATAAGTACAAGTTAGGTGTGCCAGTTACACTACCTTATTTTTTTTTTTTTGTAATAAAATTAAGTTTACTTTAATAATCAGGAAATATATTTTGAAAAGAAAATGATGCAGGTTGCTACATTCCTTACATTCTATAAATTGTCATTTATGAAAGCATCAGATTGAACTAGTAGTAGGAAAAGACCTGGAATAGAAGAAATTCATCCAAAAGGAGTTTTTCCTGCATGTCCAGCATAATCTTCTGGTTCAGTTTCTATCAACTACAGTACCACTCAACAACCAGTAACATCTGTGCAGCGGTCTCAAATATAGCATCAGCACTCTCAAAAAACAGGGGAACTGGCATGCAAATAAAATCTGGAGCTGTTGATTTTAAAAGAAGCTTGTATTGTTTACATGGTGATCAAATAATTAGGTATGTCTGCAATGTAAAAATTACCACATTGTTACAATACTACCACTCATTCTGCATTTGTAAATACAGAGAAAACACTTCTTCCTTAGGGAAAGAAAACAGTAGATCTTCCCAACCCTCCAACAGTATGATAAAAATACCTCATGAATGCTAACAATTTCATCAAAATAGTGTCTTCTAGTTCTGTTCAATGAAAAGGACGTTTTATAACAAACTTGATACATCTGCTGTCAAATGAGTATGCCCCCAGTATAAGTCAAAGTATTTATTTTAATATTTCACAGAAGTGCATCTAATTAAAAACCTATGTATATTAAATCATTATGACAAATAGTTAACATCATTAAAATATTTTAAAATTATGAAAAAGAAGTTATTTAAATTTTAGGAGGACAAAAGCATTAACATTACAAGCTTTGCAAAAGTCTTCCTTGACACTCAAAACTAGGAAAACTCAATACCAAGTAACCAATGCAGAATTATTTTGCTTAGAAATTTGTTTTAAACATCCGGCAAAATGCATGCACCCATTTCATTTCAGAACTGCAATAAAAGGTAATGTTCAGCACAGCTAAAATTTGATAAGTCAACTTGCAGACCTATTCCCCTCCCCCCTTTATGTCCAGCATTAACAGTGCTAATGTAATTGGGTGGGCACTTCAATATTACACTGCAGTATATGCATTTCCAGTAGCACTGCACTGTCTGATAGTCTGAGAATTTGTAACAGTGTGCTCATTATGAAGTGGGTTCAGGAGGCTCTGCTCTACTCCACTCTCAAGCACTGGCTGCTGCATAGAGCCCACCTGAAATGCCTGGTTTAGTTCTGTTTTCTCCCTCTTGGCTTGTGGCTCTCCATTTTCATCCAGCTCTTCTTCTATTTCACTTTCAACTTCACTGCCATCATCTGCACAAAAAAAAAAAACCAAACAACAACACTAAAAAAAAATCAACCAAACAACAAAGCAAAACCAAAACAAACAAGAAAATATAGCACAAAAGGAAAAATCTAAACACGAATGTCTTCATTTTGCAAATAATATGAAATATGAAAACACAAGGAAGTATAGCAAACGCATAAAATAGAAACTGAAAGATCAACATTTTACTGGGAAAAGTCAATAAATGCTACAGATAAATAGGATAATGAACCCTCTCTAATGTTATCCCATTTTACTGAAAATGAAATGAAAGTGAAATGAAGAGAGGTTGACTTGCTCCAAATCATACAACCAGCGTAAGAATGGAGAACAAACTAAGCCTTTAATCTACAAAGAGGACAAAACCTCATTTCTTACTATATCCTTCAGTAACAATTAGCAAGCTATTTGGTTAGTGCTTGGACACAATTTCTCCATCTTCACTTCTCAGACTCCTAATTCACTACAAATGTCAATATATGTATATTCTCATCATATCTTTCTTTTTCCAACTGTCCATCCCCTTCAACTCTCTCACCAGGATATACAGCTAAATTCTGGGTGAAATTTTGAAAATTTATTGTGCAAACAATAAGCATTTTAAAAAAGATTTCCTATTAAGAACCTAGAGTATTTAGTCATTGTATACTATATATCATGTATAGCATATTGTACCCATATAATAGTTATATACACATAAATCGTGACACAGATTTAGATTCTGCTTTCCTGTGTTTTCAAAAAATAAGAACTTATTTTGCTCCAAGAGAAACACTAGTTCTACATAAAACTGTACATTTGAGAGATTTTACTGCTTACCTTTAGCCATATTTCCAGGGGATATAGAATTTAAATCACCAAACTGCAAAATAAATAATAAAAAGTGTGGACACAGTCCTACACAAACACAACCTTAGATTACCTATGATGAAGCCACTACTATGCTCCAATGTTTTGTGGCTAGTATGAAAGTACATGCATGTGACTGCAGTCACAACCATAGTATACCAGTTCATTTTCCATCCCATCATATTCATGTTCATATTAAGGAAATTAACATTAAAATAAAAAATGCTCAGCAATTAAAACCATGGAATATAAACTTGAGCAAATGATTTTGCTTTTTTGGGTGACTTATGTCAAGTCCTTTGTTGCTTTGAGTGAGATATTTCTTATGTAGAATGCTGGAAAATATGACTAGTGTCCATTTTTAAACTGCAATATTTTAATGGAAAGCTCCTTTAAAAGTTCCTCTGAGAAGGTGACTCACTAAAGGCAGTTATAGTGTAGCAAAACTATATACAAAGTAAATAAGTGGCACCACTGAAAATAGGGCTTATGGTTATTACAGTGCATTCTAGTTTACTTGCTCAAATAAAGTGAAAAATTGCTCACAAGTAAATGCAACCTTCCTTTCTCCCTTTCCTTGTGTTAGTCATCTACCCTTCTCTTCAATGAGAAGCAGCAGAGCATAATTTGATGGGTGAATCTCATACGAAAGGAGTACAATATTTAGATAAATATATTTCTAACCATACTTGATTCAGTCCTTTTCAGAAATATGGAAAGATAAAACCTCAGTGAACACTAAACCAGCATAAGTAGCAGCAGCCCTATCCTTCCAGGTTCCCTCACACATACTCCCTCCTCGCCTCCCCATACCCATCCTTTTGCCTTAAGTGTTCACATGGCTGTGCAAAGAAGCACATGACAGAACTGACCCAAGGAAAACCCCACCATTTTAATGGGGTTATTTTGCACAGGATAAATTCTCTGATCCAGTTAACCACAGGACTGACTGAGTACTTGTGCCAGCATCAATGTCCAAAGCTAAGGGGATGAGAGAGGAGGAGACAGAGTGCTTTTCTAAGCTGCAAAGCCATTTTATACTGGCTTCAAGTGTTTGTCAAACTAGCCTAAGTCTTTCCTATTATATTTCATCCACAGTCAGTAAATGCGGAGAAACACAAGAAGCCATAGATTGAATGAATATTTATGTCCTCTTCCCTGTTATCCTCTCACCTCTCAAAGCTTTAGATTGCATAATTTCCCTCTAAGATCATATCCATCTTAAATTTGCCAAACATTATAGGAAGTCCCACAGTGCACCAAAACCATTACATTTAACCTATACCATATCTGTCAAGAAAAAATAATCATAGAGATACTACACTTTTGCAATACTTTGTTATAAATGTAATGGCAGTGTTTAATCAAATACCTAATCAGAAACAGTCATTTATTTTTTCTAAAGCATGCCATATCAAACTACAAATTAAGTCAAGACTTCCCATCTCTATGAAAAAGCACATAGAATTGTATGTTCACATCTATCCATTTTCTACCACTTTAAAAGCACTGATCCTTGATGATAACTCCGAAGATAATGTGAATTCTCAAGCAACTCACACAAAATTACCAGTTAGGTGGGCTACTGTAAAAAAGAGGTCTGACATAAGCTTCAGTTTGCAAATACAATGGGCTCATATAAGACACAGCATTTCTGAATTAAGACTTTTGCTCTGTTTATTGAAATATAAGCATGAAAATATGCAATGTCCAATCCTGCAAGTACTTCTGTGCTACTTTCATTTCATGCATGTTGTCAGTTGGCCCTGGTTAACACCAAGCACTCATCTAGCCGTTCGCTTACTTCCCCACCCCCTGTCCAGAGGGATGGTGGAGCAAATAGGAAGAACCGGAGTGAGAAAGCTCATGAATGAAGACAGGGAGATCACTTACCAATTGCTGTCACAGGCAACAAAACATGGGGAATTTAATTTATTGCCAATTAAAATAAATATTTAATTGCTGATTTGAGTAGTGGGAAGCAAAAAAAGAACAAAACATTTAAACACTTCAGGAAAACATCTTTCTTCCCCCTTTCCCAGGCTCAACTTCACTCCAAGCACCTCTATTCCCCCTATGTTACTGTTGCAAGTTACACTCAATCCCTTCAGCGAGGCCTTGTGGTCAGTACATAGCATTTTTTCTCTGCGCTCCTTCCTTCTCACTTTTCCTCTGGTTCTCCACAGGCTGCAGTTCCTTTGGGAATATCCCTCTGTTCTGGAGGTTATCCACAGGCTGCAGGGAATATCTGCTCCATCATGGATCATCTCCTACTGCTCTGACCTTGATGTTCCCTCTGCTGTTTCTTACTCTTTTTTTTCCCTCCTCCTGTGCCTGTCTGGTGTTTACTGCCCTTTCTCAAATGTTTTCACAGAGGTACCTGAAAGTTTGCCAATTGGATCAGCTTTGGCCTGTGGTGGGTCCATTGTCAAGCTGACAAGAACTGGCTGTGTCTGGCACAAGGCAGTCCCATACTTCTCACAGAGTCCACCCTTGCAGCCCCTGCCCTGTCCCCATCTCCCCCCTCCACCCCTCAGCCTTGCCACTTACAAGCAATACATGTAAACAGTGCCACTGAAGCAAAACTAACTTCTTCATGTGAACCAGCCTTCTGAAGTCAGTGGGACTACCCATTTGTCTAGATATTTGTACTGGAATCTCAAGTATGTGTAAATATGAGTAAGCAGATCCCTGAAAGCAAGTTTTGTATTATTCTATTCCTTTTTCGATTCATATGAAATATTTAGTTTCCCAGAAATCAAAAAAAGGTTCCTACCTAGCAGGTTGATCTGGGTTTTTGTTTGTTTGTTGGTTGGTTGGTTTGGGTTTTTTTTTTGTAAGAAGTAATTGTGGTTTTAGTACTCTGAAAAACAATCAGCCAAGGAAACATGGATTAAGGTATATAACTCAAATTTGAAGATGCCAATGTCTTTGCAGCTCAATCTGCAACAGTTATATTACAAAATATCCCATAAATCCATGTAAATGTTAAAAATGTAGATGCATATCCAAATTGATCAACGAATTCACCAATCCATTGTCTTACGTATTATCTTACCTCTCCCATAACTGCGATTGGTGTCTCTCCTGTTGCCTGAGCAACACGATGTTCTACTAAGTAAAACATGTACTCATCATAAAGCAAGCGGATCAGATGAAAAGAGCCAAAGCTAGCAGCACTGCGTAAGGTTAAATCTCGAATCACCATTGAGCTATTTAAACATGGGGGGGAAAAAAAATCACAGTTCTTTATTAATTTATTCATATGGAATATGCACTTCAAGAATAATATTTTTTAAAGTAATGCTATCCACAAACAGCGGATTTATGGTGTCTTCAAAAATAAATGTCCCGGGAAAACAATTATTTTCTGAAAGCATGGTTGGAGACCACATTACACAATTAGAAGCTAAATTTTCAATAAAGACAGGAAAGGTTTTGTTTTGACATATTCACAATTACCAATATGTGAGCGCATGTAAAAAATGACTTTAGTGGAAGGAAGTTCTTTGCTAAAATTTTAAATAATAAAATTGTATTAATATTATTTAATTTTAAACAAAGCACTCTTTCAAAATATTTTCTGTTGTGCTCACATTCCTAGTCCAAAGTTTTTAATTTATATGTTTTTTAAACTTATAAATGTAAATAAGTTTGTGTACACCTTCTAATAGAAAAATGCAAATTGTGGATGAAAACTCTATCCCAGATGAAACCAGGACAGTATGAAACCCTATGTGATACTATGTGCTATTTTGTAAAAAAAACCCTAGCTTTACTATGATAACTGATACAGTAGCAGATGACATGGACATTTTGTCTTTATGCTCTTTTTGCACATTACACATATTTTTTCCCTACGTAATGCAAATTGAAGCCATGCTATTTTATCAAATAGTATTAAAAACATTGGCTTTACAACTGTATAGCTATTCAATACGAAACGTTTCATTGCATGTTTCCAAATCAGGAATCAAATCTACAATCAAATCAAATATACAAGGATCATTTCATCCTCTGCTGAGTTGTACATAGCCCTGTGCTTAACACTGACAACACTAATCTTTCAGAGGGAGGGAGGCTCTTAATTTCTTGGGAACTAATGTCTGATATTAATTTTGTCAACATTATTGCAGCATACAGTTCAGCAACTAATAAAATAGCTAAAATAATTTAGAAGACTATTAAGAACTACCTGTAGAAAGACCATTTTAAAAGAAATTGCCGTGCTGCTTTAGGAAAGCTGGGTCTTCCTTCATACGGTTTCAATGCTTGCATCATTACATTATCAAGCCAGGCGGCCCACTGCTCCAGAGTGCTCTGCTGCTGAAGAGTCACCTTGAAATCTGTTTCTAGTCTTTGAACCATATTGTCATCACACTGACACACCCAGGAAGCCTGCTCCTGTTGCAACACATGGCAAACATGAAAGTAAACCACAAAATGTAAATTATTCTTAAAGACTGAACACTTAAACAAAAAGGATGAAATACACTTATTAGGCAAACTAATGAGTATTTTTATTTTCATGTCCCTTTCAATTTTGTTGGAAGAAAATGAAAGTAAGGAACCCAAAGTATAAAAATGGGCATCAAATAAAGTACACACACACAAAAATACAACAGGAAAAAACACAAATACATTGCAATGTTCCATATTAATTTTCATGAAAGAATTTTCAACTTCTCTCATAATTTTTCTAGTAAAAGTTTTCAGGAATTGTCATGCTTGGGACTACAGGAACAAGGAATGGAAAGGGCAGTCAAATGCAAGTTGAGAGAATAAGAAATAGAGTAACCAAGAAACCAAAGTACCATGGTTCCTATTTATTTGAAAGAGTTAAGACCAAGTACAATTTCTGTGATATTTTTTAATCACCTTGCTTAAAAAGTTTTGTTTTCTATGCAAAAAATTATTGTTTTGTTTATCCATAGACTGCAATATATTGCACATTGCTCAATGAGTAATATAAATAGCACATAATTGGACAAACACAGTCCATGTACAATAATCAACAATTCACACTATTAACATCAAATGTAATTATATTAAATTTTAAAGTTTAAATAAGACTTCTGTTAAATGGAACTTAGAGAAAACCAATATCGGTTTAATATAGGCCATATTCTTAAACTTCAGCTGTCACAAGCCAAGTTAACATCTCAACATTTATAGACCCTGCATCTTACCACAGAACAATATTTAATAGACCATATATTTTTCACATACTAATCTTAGGTAAATATGCACACCATTATGCTATATAACTATATCTGTGTTAAATTTTATTTATTCAAAGGTCTGCCAATAAGCAAAAAGAGCTTAACTGTTGCTAGTGAACTTCTGAACTTCTGTTAAGATAAAATGTGTTAAAATGTTTCTTCATGAAAGAAGACAAATGTATGACTGCCAGTAATCTGGACCATGTCAGTTAGCTGAGCAACAGGAGAAAAAAAAAATGCTGTTTCTTCTAAGGAGAAGAAAGAGGTAAAGGGCAAATCTTTTTCTAAACCTAATGAAAAAATACTAAAATTGATGTTTTACATATAACTGGAAACTACTTCTGACCACTTACTTAGGAAAGGCTGTAAATGTAAACACAAACAATTAAGGAAAGTATACCAATGATATTATCTTTGAAATAAAAATAAATGAATGAAACAATCTATACTAGAAATAGTACAGTATGATCAATATTTTTTTAGGGAAGATCAGAAGCTATGCTATTATCCAAGATTTCTTCTTCAGGCATTATTCATGCTGTTCATTCTAAGAACACATGTACTCTTCACTTTCATCTTCATTAAATAAAAATTGGAAGAATGCATTATGAGAAAGATAAGCCTTCAGAGAAAATGGAAATAGGTCATGGTTCAGAGGTTTTATTTTCCTTACAGCCAAAGTGCAAGCTTGACAGTTTCAACTGAATCACTGCACATATAAAAATCAGCAAAAAGTTCCCACTTTCTTGATGGCATAATAAAAACTAACAACAAAAATCAAAATTTCTGAGGGAAATATTTTTTTTTAAGTCTGTTTTTTAAAGCCACAGGTACCTGTACGTTGGCAAAATCAACACGGTTGAGATCACTGAGCATCTGGTTGATCTGAGAAGTGTTTTGAAGCACAGCCCGAGCTGCCTGAGCCAGGTGATTAAGAGATGTGTATCTTCTCAAAGTCTGGGCAAAGGCACTTACAGCAGCAACCTATGAAGAAATCCATTTATCCTAACACGTTGTATTATGAACAGGTCTTCTATTTAATCTATTTTAATTTTAAAATGTATTAGTTTATGATCCCTCAGATACTGCAATTCACGTACACTGGAACACATACAGTTTTTCCTGGGTTTTTTTTTTGTTTTTTTTTTTTTTTGGCAAACAAAGTTATTTCTAATCCCATGCTTCATGTTTGAAGTTCAACCTAAATATGACATTTACCATAAAAGTTAAAATGCTGCTACTTTTAGATCTTAAATGACATCTAGTGTACAATTACATAAAGTGAAGACTACAGTAAACTGAAGTAAACTTTGTTTACCTTGGTTTGTATCATTCTCTGTGGAATATTGCTCATGGCACTGGAAAGCCAACCTTCAAGGCTTTTTGCAAAATTGCGAATGGCTTGAGTCAAGGCACCTAAATGTTAAAGAATAAAAATAAAATGAAAAATATGGCAAGGTATCTCTCTTGAAACCTTTTGCATCATCAGCATTTAAATATTCTACATTGACATCTACTGCATTTATTGGCGAAGAGATGTATCCAGTCCAGGTTTGGATCCCTCTCAATACAAGAAGGATGTTTGTTGATAAACTGGAGCAAGTTCAGTAGAGGGCCACTGACATGGTCGGGGGCTGGAGCAAATACCTTATGAATAGAGGCTGAGGGAACTAGGTGTGTTCAGCCTGGAAAAGAGAAAGTTTAGGGGAGAACTAAGAGAAGCCTCTCAATATCTAAAAGGTTTCAAGAAGACAGAGTCAGAGTCTTCACAATGATGCATGGCAGGAAGGTAATAGATGATGGTTATGAACTTGAAAAAGAGAGGTCCTAACTTGATAAATTATTTTCACTTTGAGGACAGACAAGGAGTGCCAATTCATGGCCCGTCACTGGACTCTCTACAGTGTATCCGTGCCTCTAGGGAACCCAGAACTGAAGAAAGGACTCTAGGTACACAGTACACAACTGGCACTGAAAAAATGTTACCTACCTGGATCTACTGGCAACACTTTGCCTAATGCAGCCCAGAATAGCATTAGCCCTTTGTGGCACAGGCACGCGTCTCATGTTAAATTGGTGTCTACCAGGACCTCCAGGTCCTTTTCTGAAAAGCTGTTTTCCAGCTGGCTCTCGTACTGCCACCCCCCCCCCCCCCCCTCCTCCCCCCCCCCCCCCCCCCCCCGGCATGTACCGGTGCATGGGATTGTTTGTCCCCAGGGGCATGTCTTGGCACTCCTCCTTGTTGACGTACATGAGGATCCTGTCAGCCTGATTCTCCATCTTGTCAAGGTCCCTCTGGATGGCAGCGCAACCCTGTGATGTATCAGCCACTCTTCACAGTTTTGTGTCATCAGCCAACTTGCTGAGGATACACTCTGCCCCATCATCCAGATCACTAATGAAGACATTGAACAGTATTGGATCCAGTATTGACCCCTGGGGTACACTGCTATTTACTGGCCTCCTTCTAGATGTTTTGCCAATATGCCCATGGGATCTTCTTTGAGGATGGAGGACTGCTAGGGAGAGACAGGATCCACATGACCTAGTGGGGCACAAACAGCTTTGCCAACAGGCTGGATAACCTGGTAAGGAGAGCTTTATGCTAGGAATGATGGGGAAGTGATGAACAACAGTCAAGTGAGAAAGTCATAGACCAAATGGGCAAGTGAAGGATGTGGCGTAAGCAGGAGGGTCCTTGTAATCAACAAAACTTCAAGCATACGCATAGGAAGTGTCAGATCAACATTATAGTAAAGCTTTCATGCCCTTTTGGAGAAATTGGTACGATTGGGTGCTTCTTTGAAGTGTCTGCACACCTATGCCCACAACTCGGGGAAAAACAAGAGGAATTAGACATCTGTGAGCATTTGCAGGGCTACGATCTCGGGGATCAGAGAGATACTGTGGGATGTCTCATACAACTGGAGTACTGCAATGGATGGATACGGAATCTTTAGGGAAAACAAGACAAGATGCTCTATATGAAAGAGGACCCGGAATGCATGGAGCTTTGCCTAGGGATGAATGATAAGCCAGTTGAGAGCTTAAGGGTCCAGGTTAGATGACATACCAACGTGGGGGATGGTGTGAGTATCTGATACAGGCTGGCTGACCAGGAAGAAGTAGATGAAGTCTTGCAGTGGGTTGACCTTGGCTGGCTGCCAGGTGCCCGACAAACTACTCTATCACTCCCCCTTCTCAACAGAACAGGGGAGAAAAATGTGATTAAAAGCTTGCGGGTGGTTGAGATAAGGACAGGGAGATCATTCAACAGTTACTGTCACAGGGAAAACAGACTTGGCTTGGGGAAAATAATGTATTGCCAAATAAACAGGTTAGGATAATGAGGAATAGAACTGTCGTGGTTTAACCCATCCAGACATCTTGTCCACTCATTCCCCCCTCCCCCCCCCCCCCCCCCCCCCCCCCCCACTTCTTGCCCTCCCCTACTCTCGGAGGGACGAAGAGGAGAATCAAAAAGAATTCTTTGGTCAGTTTGGGTCAGGTGTCCTGTCTCTGCTTCCTCCCGGCTTCCCCTCCTCCCTGGCAGAGCATGAGGCTCACAAAGTCCTTGGCCAAACCAAAACATCATTTTTTTCAGCTCCGTTCCCAGCCCGAAAGTCAAAACACAGCACTGCACCAGCTACCAAGAAGGAGAAAAATGACTGCTACTGTGTCGTGGTTTAACCAATGCCAGACAGTTTGTGCACTCACTCCCCCCCCCCCCCTTCTTGCCCTCCCCTTACTCCTGGAGGGACGGAGAGGAGAATCAGAAAAAATGCAACTCCCACGGGTTGAGATAAGAACAGTTTAGTAACTAAGGTATAACACAAATCACTACTGCTACCACCAATAATAGTAATGATAAAGGAAATAACAAGGGAAGAGAATACAACACCCCATCACCAGGCGACCGATAATTCGCCCCCCCAGCCCGACCAAGCACCGATACCTCCTCCAACCCTGCAGTCCACTCCTAGCCCTTCCGGGTAACTCCCAGTTCCCTCCTGGGCATGACGTGCTGTGGTATGGAATACCTCTTTGGTCAGTTTGGGTCAGGTGTCCTGTCTCTGCTTCCTCCCGGCTTCCCCTCCTCCCTGGCAGAGCATGAGGCCCACAAAGTCCTTGGCCAAACCAAAACATCATTGTTTTCAGCTCTGTTCCCAGCTGAAAGTCAAAACACAGCACTGCACCAGCTACCAAGAAAGAGAAAAACGACTGCCACTGCTAAACCCAGGACATACTGCTAAACCCCCTTCCCCTCTTCCCAGGCTCAAGTTCACTCCCAACTCTTCTACCTCCTCCCTCTGAGTGGTGCAAGGGGATGAGGAATGGGGATTGCAGTCAGTTCATCACATGTTGTCTTTGCCTCTCCTTCCTCCTCAGGCTCTTCCCCTGCTCTAGTATGAGGCCTCACCCATGAGAGAGTCCTCCACAGACTTCTCCAACATGGGTCCTTCCCACAGGCTGGACTTCTTCACGAGCTGCTCTAACATAGGTCCTTTCCACAAGGTGCAGTCCTTCAGAACAGACTGCTCCAGTGTGGGTCTCCCCACTGGGTCATAGGTCCTGCCAGAAAACCTGTTCCAGCGTGGGCTCCTCTCCACGGGGCCACCGTTCCTGCCAGGAGCCTACTCTATCGTGGTCTCTCCATGGTCTGCAGCTTCCTTCAGGGCACACCCACCTGCTCTTGCATGAGGTCCTCCATGGGCTGCAGGGTAACAATGTGCTTCACCATGATCTTCACCATGGGCTGCAGGGGAATCTATGCTCGGGCACCTGGAGCACATCCTCCCTCTTCTTCTTCCATGACCTTGATGTCTGCATAGGTATCGCTCTCATATATTCTCACGCTTGTCTCAGCGCTGCTGTTTTGCAGCAGTTGTTATCCTTTCCTAAGTATGTTATCACAGAAGCGCTACCAATGACTCCGATTGACTCAGACTTTGGCCAGCGGCAGGTCCATCTTCAAGCTGCTGAAACTGGCTCTTTCCAACATGAGGGGGGCTTCTCATAGAAGCCATCCCTGCACCCCCCCATCTATACCAAAACCTTGCCGTGTAAACCCAATACAGGTCTTCTTCAGGCAACTGGAATAAACCCCGTGTTCACAGGCTCTGATTCTCATGGAAGACTTGAACAGCCCCAATATCTGCTTAGATGGACAACAAAGCAGAGCCAAGCAACCCAGGAGGGCAGTCAAGCAGTGCAACTGGTTGCCCAGAGAGGTTTGTGTAGTTTCTGTCCTTAGATGTTTTCAAGACCCGACTGGGAAAAGCCCTGAGCAAACTGTCTGAATTCTGCATCAACCATGCTTTGAGCAGGAGGTTGGACTAGAGACCTCCTGAGGTCCCTTCCAACCCGAATTATTCTTGGAATTCTATATTATGTAGCAATTATTTAGTTTCTGATTTAACAAACAGATCTGACCACCTATGACCCTTTCAAGAAACTTATGATCAGCAGTGGAAATTCATTTTGGCATTCCTACAGGTACATCAGTAATCTGAAAACTTCCATCATGAATTTTCCACCTTCAATGTAAACGCTTCTGCTTTTAAAGAGCAAAACCATGCAGGGAATGGCAGGTATCGCAATACCACAGTTTCCTCAAGTAAGCTCAAAGTACCCTGAATCATTGCCAACATGCTGTTTATTTTAGTTCTGAAAAAGAAAATGCAATGTTCAGTGTTCAATAAGCAATATATAAGAATGTGTTTAACTAACAGAAGGTAGAACTGCTCTCTGTACTGTAAAATCCTGGTGGTGGAGACAGAATGCTGCTACAGTAATGAAGGAAGAAAAAAATAGAAAAGAGAAATCATATATAGAAAAGAGAAATCATATTATCTTAAAGCGTGGTTGTTGTTTTTTTTTTAACCTATACCACGTCTGTCAAGAAAAAAAGATCATAGAGATACTACAATTTTGCAATACTTTGCTATAAATGATATGGAAATGCTTAATCTAATACTAATAAGTGTGTTTTATTTTTCACAGCATCTTTTTCTTCAAATTTGTAGTGATGCCTAGTTTATGTAACTGCCCTCTAATGCAGATGATCATCTGAAAATTGATTTGCATTTCTAAAAATTCTGTATTAGCTCTGTGGAACAGCCTTTTTTTTATTCTTTTTTTTTTTTTCCTTTTTTTCTTTTTAACGAGGTTTCCAGTCAAAGAACAAACTCTCTTTTGCACTGTCAACCATCTAACCCACTTACACTTCTACATAAACATTTTTTATATGCACTAACTAAGCATTCACTCATGTTAATTTTTTACTCGCAGAATAAGAAAAAGTCAAAGAATAAGGAATACAGTAAATAATTTGTCAACAGTATTTAGTCTTTTGAAGAAAATAGCATATTTTTTTCTAAAGAAATAATATACCCTCTTTCTAGCTAAACACAGTA